GTATGAGTCATTTCTCTGTTCTGTACGATGCTTTGCACGTCAAAAGACGAATTGGTGACGTACATGTCAGAACTATCAACGATACAAGTATGTTATACTCAACGTTAGAAATAAAATAAAAAACTCTAATTTTGATCATAACCCTGAAACAACCTCTGAGATGATCAAAGTTGGGCACGGCTAACTCACAGATCGAACCCTGAAACAACCTCTGGACTGATCTAAGTCAGGGCATAACTAACTCACAGATCGAACCTGAAACGACCTCTGGGCTGATCTAAGTCAGGGCGAGACTAACTCGCGCCATAATCCAGCATGGACTGCCTGTGGTTAGATGGCACAACAATAAAAGTAGTCTCTTTGTTCTTGGGAATGGAATTGTTTCTCATGTAAAACGATTGTATTTTTCCTGCCATCTAACAAGGCTGCCGTCACGTGATGGTGCAAAACCTCTATACTTTCAATAGGCTAACTTTATTTTCCTTCCCATAGTTCCTGGCAAGCCACCAAAAGACTTCACTGCCACTCCCTCAGGAACAACAAGCATCTACGTCACGTGGTCAACACGCCATCAAATCCTGCCTCGTGAATGGCTGCTCTTCTTCGACTTAGTAGACTCCAACAATACCACGTTACACAATTTTAATACATCTGTCAATCAACGAGCCAATCAAACGTTATTGGAGAAATTAGAGAAATTTGCATATTACGTCATATGGATACGAGGTGTTACTCAATGGGGTCTTGGGTTACCAAGCGAAAAGATTATTGTAAGGACCTTGGAAGAAGGTAAGGAAGACATTTGTCTGCTCACAAATCAAGTATATTTTTTAAATACCATTTCTACTATATATTTTACATGAGTTCCACCATGAGTTTACTATATGAGTTCCATTTTGTCCTTTTGCAAATTATCAATGTGTTCTTTTTGTTTTTTGGGTTCAAGTTATTACAACTGCTTCATTTAAGGCCAGGGCTCGGTTGTACGAAGGGTGAATAGTGCTATCCAAYGAATAATTCCTAAACCAAGCGGATAAGTCGATGCTGTTTTCCAATAAATTTGCCACTGGGTGAGATATATCAGTCGGATGGCACATCGTTATTATAATTATTATTATTATCCACTCTTCGTACGACTGAGCACATGCAAGACCTTGGATCATGTTGCCCATTAGTGCAAATAGATTGCCGGGTTAGAAAAAAGAACATTTTWAAAAATTTCCTCCTTCATATTTGATTCTTAGGCTATACGTCATTGATAAGAGCTCGCGCATTAGCATAGTATTCTTTAACAGGCAGGTTGTCATAGCGATTGGACAGAATAAAGATCTTGGTTGCACCAAGACTAAACCCCGTTTCGAGTGTCCAACATGTGGGAGGTTTTAGATTTGTAAGCAGGTTACGATTTGTTTAAGAAAAGAATGCCAGTAAGTTATTACAGAAAAATAGCGCATGATTTCATATTTAAGATGAAGATTTTCCAAATTCATTGACGACAAACTACATCACGTGACGCCACTCATATTTAATCTCATTTGTGGATTAACCAAATAAGCACAAGAGAAGATTATTTGTAGAAGTTTACTGAGTAGGATTACTTCAGTTCTCACATTTATAACTAAACCCTCATGTATGTATGTATGTATGTATGTGTGTGTGTGTGTGTGTGTGTGTGTGTGTGTGTGTGTGTGTGTGTGTACACTTATTTCAATAAAGTTAGTCGCCTGAAAAGCTACAAAGCTGAGACCCACAAGGATTATAGGTAGATACATTTTACATGTTTCAACCGCTTTAATAACTGTTGTTGGATTTTAGATCTTTTACCAGTTACAGTCTCACCTCTCCTGAGCATCCTCAAGCTGCAAATTGTATAAAAAGCTTTACTTGTTTGATATTAAAAGTTTCCCATGATCCTCAGTGATCTCAGCTTTCTAGGTTTCTTGGTGACTAACTTTATTGAAATAAGTGTATATACACTTGATTGCAAAAAGGTCGTAGTATACATTTATRAATATATCTAACGAGATGCAAGATATCAAATGAAATGCGGAACGTAAAAAAGTATTTATTTGGTCTTATTTATCTTCTATTATATATCAGAGACAAGTATTGCACAAAGTCAAGTTGAAAAAGTTTTTTCCACAAAATGTAGTGGCTAAGCAATCGTATTTAAGCATGTTTTACGTTCTGCATCTCATTTGATATCTTGCATCTCATTAGGTATCTGTATAAATGTATACTGCAACCTTTCTGCAATCAAGTGTACATATATATAATTTACATTTTTTGAAAATTATGAGTAACGTCTAACATTACCTTTTAAATATTCTGAAAATTAAAAGCACATTTCTTTGCAGTTTAGCCTAGGGAAGTGTGTTATCCCTCACGCCTCTATATCTTAAACTTTAATTGTTTTCTAAATATCATGGATGTTCTCCACTTCTTAAAATAACCACCACTTATCATATTAGCGCGTATTCTAAGGTTCCTATGATACGAGGCTTGATTTCAAGTATTCAAAGTCTTTATCTCAATACGATACTAATACGATAATACGACGAGATTTAAACATTACTCGTTCAATACCACTAAATCAATGTCTATTGCCAAGTTCTCTCGCGACTTTTTCTAAATATAAGTTGAAAAGTGTATGCCATAATGAGAATAGAATTCTTGTCACGTGACATGCGGGGCTATACTTCTATATAACATTTGTATGACATGCATGATCGTTACTGAACCATGCTTATATCCGAGTTGATTCTGATATTAGTCGTAGACGTACATGTGGAGATTCTGGTGGTCAACCTGACGGCAAATCAAAACGGTTCACGGGCTGATGGACATAACTTGTCAGCGATTGCACGAGATATTCAGCGTAATGTGAGTACCCTGAAACGTAGTAAAATACGTCAATGTTGCGTCTTATTTCCATGACCATTCTTTTGTATTTGGAGTGATTGGAAAAAAGAAACGAGAAATAAGAGATTAAACAGATACTAAATGGTTTGATTTTGCTCACTCGGGCCTTTATTTTCTTTTTTCAATCACTCTTCAGGTTACTACTATCACTCACTATTCATGGGATTAGTGTAACCTAAAGGATCCAGATAGACGCTGTTTTATTCCATTTTTAACATAAATGCCATTCTCTTGTATACAAAACACTTCAGGAATTGGTAGAGGATGAATTTTTATATTCGCTATACTTCAAAAACGTTCAATTTACATGAAGTTAGTTGATTACAAATATAATAAATATGACAAAAAAGTAAATAGAGACAATGAACAAAATATTTCATTGATCTTTTCAAAGACGCATTTTGATTTCTTGGAACTTAAAAAAAATTTCAGTGTGCTGATGTTTTCCAAGATACTTTTGGATTTAGTATATTTTCCCTCTTCCCGGAGCGGAAACTCAAGCCAAAACAAAATTCTTGGATTTCAGTAGTGATGAAATATCTATTTTTAGAAAAAGTATTGATAATAATAGAACTGAATCTTACTTATGGATCTCTAAATGTCTTGTTTGAGCCTTTGTTGTGTTATTAAAACTGCACATTGTTTTTTCTAGGTGGGTTATTTGTATGTAAATGATTCAAGACTCCGAGAAGTCAACTGCGTGGTCAGGTATTTAATTTCTAGTACTTACAACTTAGCAGATGGGTTTGTCACTAAAAAATGAACCAAATAAGTTTTTTGTGTTCAAAAACCGACAATACACCGATCCCGTATTCATTCCTCCCTAAGTGTCTGTTCCATGCTGTATATCAAAATCACATTTTAGCTTGTCCGACGTAGCAACAGTAATTAGGGAGGAATGAATACGGGATCGGCGTATTGTCTGTTTTTGAACACAAAAAGTACATCAAGCAACTTATGCATCTGCTAATTATGACTGCCGCGTGAGAAAGGACTAATATACGTTTCCACTTTCCCCCCACCAACATAATGTACCCTATAGACCCCCATGATAGACCCCTTGCAGCACGTCGGAATGCAGCTCAATTCGGAGGACATAACAATAGCTTTCCAATTCTCTTAGATTAAAGTTCTTTTGTTTTGTCCTCCAAATTGAGCTGCTTTGACGTTACTTGCAAGGGGTATATAACGGCAAACCCACATAAATTACGCCCATGACCCCACTGTCACCCCTGTAGTGTCAGTTGCCCTCTTTCCCTAGACTGTTTGTAGGATCTTCCAATAATTCTTTCGTTCTTCTTCTTGTCCCCTAGAAACTCCAGTAACGAAGTGTTAGCAGACTTATCAATTACGTTTGGTCAGGATGTCAGTATGAGTCATTTCTCTGTTCTGTACGATGCTTTGCACGTCAAAAGACGAATTGGTGACGTACATGTCAGAACTATCAACGATACAAGTATGTTAGACTTAACATTAGAAATTTTAAAAACGTTAAATTTTATCAGTGATACCATGAAACAACCTCTGGCTGATCATTTGATGTCAGGGCCGACGGCTAACTCACAGGTAGAACCCTGAATCAGTTTGGAATTATACGACAATTCCATAGTTATTCTCGAAGTATGATTCGTTTATGCGCAAGTTATAAATTATGCGCTTCACCAAACGAGATTGGGTAAAAACCCTTTTGTTTCGGTCAACATGACCGTCTATTTAGAGAAACCCGCACTTAGCCATTCTTGTTTAATCATTCGCCTTTTCAATATAGAGACTATGATAACTTATCACTTTTTTCCTATAGTTCCTGGTAAGCCACCAAAAGACCTCACTACCACCCCCACAGGAACAACAAGCATCTACGTCACGTGGTCAACACGCCATCAAATCCTGCCTCGTGAATGGCTGCTCTTCTTTGACTTAGTAGACTCCAACAATACCGCGTTACACAATTTTAATACATCTGTCAATCGACGAGCCAATCAAACGTCATTGGAGAAATTAGAAAAATTTGCATATTACGTCATATGGATAAGAGGTGTCACCCAGTGGGGTCTTGGGTTACCAAGCGAAAAGATTATTGTAAGAACCTTGGAAGAAGGTAAGGAAATCACGTTATAAATGTCACGTGTGCATCAGTATGTCACGTGATACAAAGGGACTAAGCAAGTCTTTGGTTACCGTCTTTAAGGAAGTGGCTTTCCTTTTTTGGGTTCATACCAAAATAATAGTGCTACTCTCAAAACTGTTTAGGATGTTTTTAATATTTCGATATTTTTTCCCCTTCTTCTACTAATTTCATATATTTGTTTGTTATAGTTTTACCAGTGAATATAACTCTAGTACTCTCCAATGTAACTTGGGATTCAACGCTACTCAATTCAAGTTCTGTATACTATCAAAATACGACGGAGAAGATACGATACAATGTAAGTACCTGAGAACTGATAGTGAGTTTTTAGGGTGATTTCTTTTGAGTGGAACGACAAAATTACCATGATAAAAAAACGAGAAACAAGTTAACCAGTCAAACAGCTCTAATTCAAGACTGGCACGACAGAAATACCATGATAAAAACAAGAAACAAGTTAACCAGTCAAACAGCTCTAATTCAAGACTGGCANCAAACAGCTCTAATTCAAGACTGGCACGACAGAAATACCATGATAAAAACAAGAAACAAGTTAACCAGTCAAACAGCTCTAATTCAAGACTGGCATAACTGAGCTTTTTTCCCCTTACAGATTCGCAGATCTTTTGGTAATGACACTTACTTGAAAGATGACATTAACATTCAGTTCAGGTAAGCTAGGGTATAAGAATCCAGAAAGTAGCATTTACCAAAGCCCCTCCCCCCACCCCCTCCCCACCTCAAAATAGAGGTTTTGGTAGTGAAAATGCTAAAAAAGAGGAACCAGTGATAAGGTGTGCCAGATAAGAGCCTGGGACTAAATTAAGGGACGTAATAAATGAGATCTGTCATCAAGGGAGCTCCCACAGTTCCATGCGGGATGAGCTCGTCACCAGTCTTCCGCTGAATTAGAAGTTCAATAACAGTGGGTACTGGGGCCAAGTGACCTCCCTCGGCTCTTGGCTTATTTGTATTATATTGTGTGTCTTCTTATTTATTCTTAGAAATGCGAGTGATGTCAATGTGACTGTTGATATCAGTATGGTATTCAGCCAGACAGCGAGAGCACAAGATCTGAATATTCTGTACGAAGCTATATACAGAAAACAAAGAATCTACGAGTTGGACGTAAAACCAGTCACGGATAATAGTAAGTTCAGCTTCAGTTCATCTGAATGATGAAGTACGTTACGATCAACCTGGATAATAGTATGTATGGCATGGCATGATTTCATCTTAACGTACAATAAGACTGATTTGTGCACAAGCAAACATCACAAGCTTTGTCCCCAAAGTATCCCATAATGCATTTCGTGGCATGATTACCACATATAACGAAATTACATGTGGCCAACATGGCGGATTTTCTTGTATTAAATTCTTATCCGTGTTCGTTTTCTAGTTCCAGGCAAGCCCCCAGACCACGTGACTTCTAAGCCAAACAGCACCACGAGTATCCTTCTTAACTGGACACTCCCTTCTACCCACAGAGGACTCGAAATACTTGGTTTTAGAATATTCTACAGATTGGCCTCAAGTAGCAATAACATGTCCTCACTTGAGACCGAAGCAAATATGACATCTTTCTTAGTAGAACATCTCGAAAAATTCCGTGAATATACATTTTGGGTGAGTTCTGTTACAAGAATTGGCACTGGAAGTCTAAGTAATCCTTCCTCTGCAAGAACGCTAGAAGAACGTAAGTTATATTGCTATCTACTTAAATATAATTTTCAACGTTTTCATTGACAACGTATTCTGAGAAGCAAGATGGCGGACGCTTCTTCTTGCTGTTGATTATATGAAACTATCTAGTACACAGATCTGTGAAGGGAGAATATTACTTTAAACTTTGAAGGGTACAGGAGAAGCAAAAAATCGCACCATCACTTGACGGCAGCCATGACAGGAGTCATCTCCTGGTCAAACTCAATTCTTTCTTATGTAAATCAGGTTAGATCAGATTCAATAGACTTCCTCTGCCTGGGCTTAATGTTTAACAGTTGCTATCGGTTGCACATGAGAAGACACATGTCTATGGCTAAAACTCAAACAAAAAATATTATTCTCAAGGAAATGTCACGTGATCTGAAATGGGAAAGCATTACGCCCGAGCCGAGGAGGTCTATTGACTCTGCCTCATGTCATGGCTGACATTACGTGATGATGCAAAGCCTCTATAGAAAGCATTCGCGATTTGGTTTCTCCTGTTCTCTTCAAAGATGTATGGTAATATTCGGTCTCTTTCCATGCGTTGATGAGAATTAATAGCGTATCTTTTTACAGTTCAACCAATCAAGCTTGTGTTGCGTTTTCCGCTGTTAAAGTGGAATCAAAATCTGTCGTATCCTGACAGTGAGCAGTTCAAGAACCTCTCAAACGTTATTGAACAAAACGTGAGTAATTTGTTTTATTGTAGGATCGTAAGTAAGAGGGTGAATTCCTGGGTGGGAGCATGGATGGACCGGAGGGACGGATGGACGGACGGACGGACGGACGGACGGACGGACGGACGGACGGACGGACGGACGGACGGACGGACGGACGGACGGACGGATGGATGAATGAGTGGATGGATGAGTGGATGGATGGATGGATGGCAGGGTGGAAAATGATATTTAATATTAGTCATACTTTTGCACTTCCTTACGTCGTTTCTCTCCACTTTAATACAGGTGTTTGGTTTATACGGAGACAACGAGACTCAACTAAGAGAAGTTATATGTAACCAATTTACGTGAGTGAGTTGCTTTCCAAGATCCTTCTTAAAAATATTTGAATTGATATTTATATAAATAGTTGTATTTCTATAAATGTTATTACAGGAATGGCAGCGTCATTGCAGACATTAAAATAATGTACGGACAGCATGTCAGTATGGAGCACTTTGCCAAGCTTTACAGAGCTCTTTATGTCGATGGCCAACTCTATAACCTTACTACACAACCTTTGAATGACAATGGTAAGCAATTTTATTGATTTCTATGCGCTTAATACCGATTTCATATTTGTCATTTATCATAGCGTGGACATTACTGTCATGGCGGGAAAAATGGTCACGTGATATGTATCACATTACCCATGGCGTAAAATGATCACGTGACTAACATCCATGTCAGGGGTTGTCACGTGATACTGTATCACTAGTACAAACAATCACACAAATCATGTAACCTTTAGAAATATCTTTCAGTTCCAGGTAAGCCTCCAGTGAATGTGACCGCGAAGGTCTTCAGTTCTACTTCAATGCAAGTAACGTGGTCCTGCTCAGATTGCGCTGACACAAACAACTCCATAGCGTTCCTTGTCAGTTACAGAGCAAACAACAGTAGGACAAATATAACACAAGGCATTGTGGTTAATTCTACGGATCGTCACGTGATCATCACAGGGCTCAGCAAGTTTACGTCGTACATGCTTTGGGTGACGAGTGTCACCAGAAGAGGGAATGGAATAGCTTCTGATATAGTTTACAACACTACCCTAGAGGATGGTAAGTAAATAATCGGCACAAATATATTCATAGTATATTTAAAAGACCTGGGAGGCGGGGGAGAGGGTAGTCTTCTTATACGTTATTAGTCTCGTTAGACCGCGGGGGAATGAAACGAGACTAAATACGGCTGCTAAGGAGAGTAAGGCGAGGGGTTTGGGAAGATATTTTGGTGGTCCATTTAGAATGCTTGCCTCCGATTTAAAAGGAAATAGCTCTTCCATGAGTAATAAGTTCTGGGTTTCAGTTTCTCTCTTAGAAATCCTATGGTTCTCCCCTTAACTCAGCCAACAATGCTGATAAACATGACGGCTACATGCACAGGCGGATTGTCGGTGGTTTTGCAGCGATGTACTGATGATTCTCTTTGACTTTCAGCTCCAAGTAAAGCCCCAACAAATCTCCTTGCATATAACACGAGCAGTACGACAGTTGTGGTAGGCTGGAAAGAGGTTCCTATTGGCTACGTCCACGGCATCCTACGAGGATACGTTATTGAATACAAACAGCTACACAATTTAGGTGACCAGTGGAAAAATGTCACTGTAAACAACGCTACTACTACAGAACTAACAGGGCTACAAAAATATACCATGTACCTTGTACAAGTAAAGGCATTCACGCGTGTGGGGACAGGACCAGTTGCCAATGTTACTGTATCAACAGACGAAGATGGTAAGAAAGGACATTTTTGAAGAGTATCGTAAATCTAATAGTAGGAATAAGGTGGAAAACTAGTGAAAACTAGTGAAAACTAGTGTAAACTGCGTCGGTGTTTTCAGTAAAACAGCTGATAGATAGATAATTTGTAACACCGTATGGTATGTAAAAATGAAACTGACGTTTCGGACGTTAGTCCTTTATCGGAATAAACGTTTACTCCGATGAAGGACTAACGTCCGAAACGTCAGTTTCATTTTTACATACCATACGGTGTTACAAATTATCTATCTATCAACTGTTTTAATAGTAGGAATGTCTTTCCCTGCCTTCAAATCGATCAGTTAATTTCTCTTTATCGGTGTTAAGGTACTAGTTGGTTTTCCGAAATTATAAAGCTTCATTGGCAAGCTAAAAAATCACATTTTGTTAGGATTACGTTCCAGGGCTCGAAGTAGAAAACTTTTTTAGCCTACCATAGTAAGGAGCATGGTAAAAGGAGGTCATTCCAGTAAATTTTGCATGCCATTTCATTGTTTATTTGGCAGTGCATCGTTATCTTCACCTGGCAATAAACCTGAAATTTGTCCTGTCATTTGGCCATTGGCAGGCCACTATTTCGAGCCCCGCCTTCTTCTTGGAATACTTCGTTCTATAGTATTATTATTATTATTATCTGATCTTTGAAAAACAAAAAGTATTTTCAAGTTTTTGAAATGTTGCAACAGTTATTAACCTCATACTAAAATCTTTTTTACTTCTTCGTTGTTAAACTTTATTAGCTCGACAAAATTCACAATTTGTTTCATTTTATTCCTATAACCTTATTTTAGTTCCCAGTTCACCACCTGCAAACATCCAAGCAGTCAACACGAGCTCGACAAGTATACAAGTGACCTGGGATCAAGTCCCGGCAGTCTTTGCTCACGGCATTGTCCTTGGTTACCATATACTTTACCGAAGATCCAATGACTCAAATACCTCACACGTGATCGAGACTGCGCATGCGTATAACTTTACCTATGTACTGCGCAGGCTTAATAAATATACGGAGTACAAGATTGCAATGATGGCGTTCACCAAGAAAGGAAACGGAAGCGTGTCGAATGAGATCTCTGTCTACACCGACGAAGACAGTATGTACTATTCCTCTTTCTTAAGTAATCCTACTAGACAAGTAGAGGACCACAAGTCAAGAATAATATAAATAGACTGACATGCCCTGTGAATGTCAGTTTCAATCTATTTAGCATTGGTGGGCGCAGTGCTTATATAAACATTGACATTTTAGTTTATGTGATAGCCAAGCAATTTATCAATACCTTTTGTCAATTTGCTTTGTCGATTTTTGTTGATTTTTGGTTGCCAATTTACTGCTATTTCCCATAAACATGCGAACTCTGTGTCTCCGAGCTGCACGCTGATTTTTTTTTTTTTTTGCTTTTTTTTGTTTTTTTGTTTTTTTTGTTTTGCTGCCGCAAGTCAAAAATATGAAAGCTACCGACTGATTAGGATTGACGGCAGCGAAAAACCAAACATCCGCGTGCAGCTCGCAGACACAGAATTCGCATGTTTTTGAAAAAAGCAGTAAGTGACCAGCAACTAGAGCGAATTCCACCATCGTACCATAGATATGTGTACATATACATACATTCAACTTGTTACCCCTCCCCATTGCGGTAGGAAACTGAGGACCGTGTACCTCTGATTATGACTTAGCCGCCATATTAGATGATTCAACATAAAAAATTAACAGATATTATTAATATAATATTCATCCAACATGGTGGCTATGACGTCACCTGAACACTAAGTTGATCGTGTGTTTCCATCTCGTCCTAGTCCCCGGTCGTCCTCCTCCAAATGTGGTAACATACAACACGAGTTCAACATCCCTCAACGTCACCTGGGGCCAAATACCAAGATATTATATCCATGGTATTTTGAGAGGATATCGTGTGCTGTATAGAGAATCCCGTGATGTCAATGGAAGCTATAGTAACGTCACGACGCTGGCTAACAATTACAATATCAGTGGGCTCAAGAGGTTTACTCATTATTTGGTGAAATTGTTGGGATTCACTGTAAAAGGCGATGGTGTGGCGTCTGATTCCATAAATGTCACCACTGATGAAGATGGTAAGTTCGATTCTCAGCATCAAAAAATAACCTGCCCCATTGGTTCAACTATAAAGTAGAAAGGAAACTAATACAACCCTTTTTAGATCCAAGAAGGGAATGATATAAGTTACTTACGCAGCATTTTAAGGCTGGATTGTGAGACCCTAAATTCTTTCCATGGTGCATTTTGGACATAAAGTGCATTACTATATAGTCTTACTTTGAATTTCGTAGGACAATCCTCTGTTCTCCTCATTACGCCTTCATAATGTCTACTATAGACCAGATTTCTTTTTCCCATTCAAATGTATTTTTAACTTCTTTGGGGTCTCACGATGATGATGGTGTAAATTAGGCCAATAAAAGGTACTACAAAAAGGATTCTAGCGCTTGAGTAGTGGTATCAAAACTTAATAAGAGGAATGATAAATCATCCAGATATTTAAGGCTAATCAATGTTTGACTTCTACACAGTACCAAGTCGTGCACCTCTGAACGTTACTGGCCACAACACCAGTTCTACGAGCTTAGTTGTGATGTGGCACCAAGTCCCCCACGGATATTTACATGGTATTCTGCAAGGTTACAAAGTACTCTATAAAATAGACAACGATGGTACTTCAAACTATACATATGTGTTGACAGTGAACACCACCCGCTTAGCTGTTCTGTCCAGCCTACAGAAGTTTACTGTTTATCGGATAACTGTGTTGGCGTTTACGGTGAAAGGAAATGGACCAATGGCAGTGAACACCACAGTCACCACTGACGAAGACAGTAAGATATTCGAGTTTTAATATCTATTAAATATCTATCAGACACTAATACGAATTTTGATTTGTTGGCCAAAGCAATTATCTTCGCATGCAAAATTCCAAAATGCGTTTTAAGCATGCGCATTAATAAACATTTTAAGTAAATATTGCAGTTCATTGCCTGACAGTATAATGTTTCTCGAGTAACGGTCTAATAATTACCATTCAAAGAAACGAATTGGAGATTTGGAAGTCCAGTCCCCTTGCGACTGATTAGGGTCCAGTCTCCTACTCCTTTCACGGATTTCATTATCATAAAAACATAAAATATTTCTTTTTAAATCAGTTCCCAGCCATGCTCCAACAAATCTGACAGCCCATAATTTAACCTCCACGTCACTCATGATAAACTGGGGTCCAGTTCCAGACGGACAACTCCACGGTATTCTGCGCGGTTACCGAGTACTTATTAAGATGGCTGCCAACTCAAGCAGTAATTTTACTAGCCTGACAACTGATATGTCAACGGAAAGCCTTAATGTTTCTTCCTTGAAGAAATTTACCGTCTATCTAGTGAAGGTATTGGCATTTACAGTCAAGGGAGATGGACCTACGACGATAAATATTTCAGTCAGTACAGACGAGGACGGTAAGAAAAGCAACGTGATATTTATATTCAGTGATAATCACTCCCCAAATAAGGCAGCCTAAAAATTTAATTCCCTCCTTCCCAGTCCCCTCCCGAATTCCAACCCCACGATCCCTGCACAATTTATCGTGGGCATCTTCACAAGCAAATAATTTAGTTGTTTAAGGTGACTTCCTACTTTTGAACGTTCGATTTGAGCCCACGATGTGCGCGCGCTCAAAAACCGCTGAAAAATCTACGACATTTTATTGAAGAACCATACATGTTTTGAACTTTAAGAGAGCAAAACCCTCAAATTTTGCACGGGACTTTTTTTTAAATAGTTTATTCAAAAAAAAAAAAAGACTCCTAAAAATCTAGGTTATATTGATTTTTTAGAAAATGTTTATTTTTCTAACACATGAAAAAGTAGATTTTTTCTGAGCACTGAAACGACAAAATATGACAAATCAATGTATTTCTTTGTCGTTTTGTCACAAATATTGACGTATTAATTATTGTAGCTTAGCTTTCATTCGTGCAATCATAGATTCTGCAAAGAACGGTTATATGATTTTTTTTTTCTGATCACTTCCGGTGCTGATTATCTCGAAAACAAGCTYGAGACACCCCATTTTTCTTTTCATATTTGGAATCAGCATTAAATTTTACTTTAGGAAAGTACTATGTTAAAAAATTTCAATTTTTTCCCAAATGTAGCCAGTCCTTTTAAAGTGTGTGCGCGCGCTTGGGGACAAGTATGCAAAAATTACTTGGTAGTGAAGTGGGCGCAACTAATGTTATACCCAAACATCACTCTAGAATTTGGCAATGTGGAGAGAGGGAGGGGGGGACCAATAACGAATACTAGGTTCGTATACATATATCACAGAGAAAAATACGAATCTTAGAGAGTGGGGGGCTGGGAAATTATGAGGAATAATCGCTTTATATTGGCATTGCTGAAGGCTAAGACTTTATATTTTTTATTATCTTGTTCATCTTTTCGTTATGTTTGGCGAATACAGTACCCAGTCTACCACCACAAAACCTTCAGTCCTACAACACCAGCTCAACAACGCTCAACGTCACGTGGTCTGATATCCCAGAATGCTGTGTGCACGGTATACTCTTAGGCTATCGCGTACTTTACCGCTTCAAGAAACGTCGAAGCGTTAGAAGTATCGGCAAGGAGCAAATACAAACTGTCCCCTCTCCTACCTTACAACACGTGCAACTGACCGACCTGGTTAAATTTGCGGAGTACGAAGTGCGAGTCCTGGGGTACACACGCATCGGTGATGGAGATGAGTCTCTCAAGCCCTTTTACGTCACGACAGACGAAGACAGTATGTACATATTTGCTAAATAGCGCAATATATGATAGATTTTCTATGCATCCATAGCACATGGCATGGTAACGGCACAGCGGGCGTGATCCAGTGATCGTCCAATCAACGGCACTATCATGGCTCTGTGAGCCCTTTACCTGATTATAACAATCGCCTTAATGAAATCTTTTTTAACCCAACGGATGCTGAAATGGAATGTTTGTATCCCTATGTTTAGCATTGCGTTACCCTGTTACCTTCGTAATTGTATTTCTAACAAGTATGATGTAAGCGTGACATTGTAATGCGTGTCACGTTAAAGCATTGTGTTATGCAAAGTAGTACTCAGTAGAAGGGTACTTATCCTTGATTAATGTTTTGGCATCGATATTTTTAGGACCAAGCAAGCCTCCCCAAAATTTACGTGCTCATAACACAAGCTCTAGGAGTCTGCTAGTCTCCTGGGGGAAGGTACCTTATGAAGACGTACACGGTATTTTACTCGGATATCGACTATATTACAAGACAAAGGCAAAGTCACTCTATGTAACGCGAGTCTTGAGCCGTAATAGTTATAAGGTTTTGCTAACAGGACTGATGAGGTATACCGAATATGATATCAGGATATCTGCTTTTACACGTATCGGTGATGGGCCAAATTCTACTATTATTACCGTCAGGACAGACGAAGATGGTAAGTCTCCATAGGAGAGTTTAAGATCCTCGTTTACGGTAAACGTGAAACKTCAGTTGACCATTAAAAAATTCTTTAAAACTAGTGAAAAGGAATCGCAAAAATCTCCAAGTAGTAGATAAAATTAAGAATACGTGTCTTTGTCGAGAAGGTTTGCAAAAGGCAAAGTGAAATGTAGGGAAACGATGAAAACGTGGTCACGTTTGCCGTTTGCGGTAAGGAAAAACGGGAATCTTAATCTGCCTTATATCTCAATCCTGGACTCTGCAGTCCTTAGCGCTCCCTCGCACTCGCTCAAAAACCAGTCTCGCTCTTTGCTCACGTTTCCCTGTCCAGCCAGATACGCTAGTTTATTTCGAACCCCGCTATATAAGCGGCAAGCGGCAAGACAGAAAATTGATTGCTTTTATGGTATGCCACTTCCATTGTTCTGTGCGGACGTTGAAGCTGGATATTTTGAAATAAGAGTCTCATAGGATCATTGAACAACGCGACTAGTGGTTGCGCGATCATCATTGTTGTTTTATCATTACGAGATTCATTCAGCTGATTTGAACTGCAGCATCAGCATGCACCTATTTCAAAAAAGGAAGTCGTCACCAAAGGAGAAGTTAGGTGTTAGACGACAAGTCATTCCAAGATTGGAAGGGATAATGGACATACCTCTAAGCATATCTCSTATCTCCTCTGGCTTTGAAACCCATTTTTGAAATAGGTGCACAACATCGAGGACAACGGCGCACACTGTTTTAACAGAACACATATCCCATTTAGCCAACAACATTTTTTATATGATAATCTCTCATCATTGATATAAATTTCTGTCTAGTTCCAAGCGAAGCCCCGCCAAATGCTAGTCCAGACAACAGAGCCAGTTCAACCACAATTCCTGTGAAGTGGTTTCACATACCACAACGCTACGTCCATGGCATACTGCTCGGATACAAAGTGTCATATAAACTTGTTAGATTAGCTGATGAACCGGTTAGTAACGCAAAGGGCAAGAACGTCACAGTAAGAGCAAACGAAAAGACTGTTACGTTGATAGGTTTAGAGAGCTTTGCAGTTTACGAAATTAAAGTGGCTGGWTTCACGTCTAAAGGTGATGGCAAATGGGCAAAGTTTGATGGGGGTAAGCATGAGCAAGTATAAGCATACCTTTTTTATAGACCCCTTGCAGCACTTTGGAATGCAGCTCAAACTGGGGGACAAAACAATTTCTCAGGAGATTGGAATTCTTTTGTTTTGTTCCCCAGATCGAGCTGTTTTGACGTCACATGCAAGGGGTCTGTAATCGAGTAGACCTTTTTCAAGGTCATGGTGCATTGTGGTCTACCTTAGGTACAAACATCATTTGTTAATTACCATGCGTCATATCGTGTTATTTGTATCAATTGCATTCTGTTTATCGATCTCTGAGAGGTATATACGGCTGAGTATAATTAGGGATTATTTCACTTTTTGTTTTTCATGATTTCAATTCTTGTAATTAATCAAGTGATGATTAAGTACGTTTATTTTTGTTACCATAGTAACTTGCACGTGCCATCCATATATGTCTACTAATTGGTGGGCACATCCTCCATACGTCAGAGAGCAAGTTTCAATCAACGACACTAAATCCAAATTTAACGGACTATCGACGCCCATTGGAGGCATCTTCCCTCCAATACTACTGTCCGCTGTGACAAAATGCTGCGGGATTTGCGACGCGGGAAACGGGACCATATCAATGGACTTCAAGTATGACGGACACAATAACAAGGCCCAGAAGCCTGGTCTCCACGATGTCAAGGACAGAATTGATGAGAAATCCTTTATCAGCTTCCCAATAGGAGGAACCAAAGACCAAACCAAATACATCGGGTTTGGCGGAGAGTATGAGTTTGTATCTATTATGGATATGCCTGGTGCTGCATTCTTAGTGGCTGACAGAAGAGCCATTCATAACGAGGTCCTTAAAGCTATCCTTGGCTGCTGGCCCACTGTCATATTTGTTTTTGTTTTGGCGTACCTAGCTGGAGCTGCCATCTGGCTTATAGTAAGTCTCTTGCAAATCCCCACTCCTTTCCGCGTGCGGCGTTTTTCTATAGAAACGTTGGTTGGGCCTCGACAAACGAACAATATAAATACTCTTCACGACTGAAAGAACTAATGTTGCGAGTAATATCTGTTTCGATTAAAAAAACAGCTAAACGATATACTTTTTATCCACAACTTGCGTGCAGGGGGAACTGCACCCTTATATCATCGAAGCCTTTTCTCTTTATTGTGCAATAATAATAATAATGATAATGATAATGATAATGATAATGATAATGATAATGATAATGATAATGATAATGATAATGATAAT